AGGGTGGGCAGGGCTCTGGCCTAGCACCTGGGAAGCCCAGGCTGGTGGTTCCACCAGGTCAGGATGGGGGCCTGGCATTGGCCTGGCTAGGCTGGCTTACTGGCTGCTTCCTCATGGCCTCTGGAGCCAGACCACTGGTGACCATGCTGCTGGAGGCCTGGGAGGATTCCGTGGACTGCTCAGGGGACTCCAACAGTGTGGCCATGAACGGGAGAGTGGACTTCCCGAAGAAGAAGCTGGCCCACCAATGACCAGGGTCGGCCTTGGGGAGACCTGAAAGAAGCAAAGAGGGGTCACGATGCTGCCTGTCCAAGTGGGACTCCCCCCTTCCACCTTGCTGCCCCACGAGGAACTGAGTAGACTCTGTCCATCTGTGCGGTTAGACCCGCACTCACCCGGGTGATGGGGCGTGACTTCCCCAGGGTACTCAGCACTTCCGCAGGAGCTGCTGCTGGACGCGGAGCCCAGGCGGCCTGGAGAGGGGAGGCAGGTCAGCAATAGTGGCTTCAGTGGCTGCAAGGGGCAGTGCTGGGCTCCGTCACGTTGGGGTCAGCAAGGGGCCTACTTACGCCGATAGTAGTCGTGGGTGGCCACGAGCGAGCCGCTGGAGGGGATGGCAGCCATGCTTCGCCTCCCGGCTGGTGGAGACCTGCGCGGGTTGCGGACCTGATCACGGCGCCCCGGGAACGGGTACTCAGGGGCGGCGCCGCCTCACCCCGCCTGCCGCCGGTGCTTCCGGGCGGTTCCAACCAGCCAGGGCCGGCTGAGCGGCCGAACAAAGGTGCTTTGTGCTCCGGGTGCGGGAGCCAGGAGCTGACAGGGCCGCCCCCTGGCCCCTGGCCCGCCCCGGCCCGGCCCGGCCCGCGCGACCCGCCGTCCCGCGCCCTCACCTCGGCAGCGACTCCTCGCGGGCCTCGGCGCGCGGTCACGGGTGGCGGGGCCAGGGACGTGGACGCTAGGCCCCGGAACCCATTTGGGGAGAATGCCTGGGGAGGCCGCTCAACGACCCAGCCCTGCACGCAGCGTGCGCACGCGCAGAGGCGCCCTCTTATATGCGCGTGCTGCCACGCGCCATGAGGGGCGGAGCGTCATGATAGGCCCCGCCCCTACTCCGGGAGGCCCCCGCCCCGGGGCTTTGCGAAACCCCGCCCCGGCCCCACCCTCCTGGGTCGGACTCTGGCTGTCCCATGCCAGAGTTCTGTCCGCGGGATTGGTTAACGGATGTGTACTAGAGCCGGATCTATGCGCTCCACCTCGTGCCGGGCCACCTTCTCGGACGCGGGCCCCCCTTGGCCCCATGCACTTTCACTCCATCGCCAGTGCTCAGCCCCGCAGGCCGGAGGGGGCGGGGAAGGTGGGCAGGGTCGCCGAGGAGATGACCAATCTATCTAGGTGACATCTTGCTGTTTTCATCGCTGCAGGTTCTGACAGACCCAAAGCTCGGGGCTGGCCACTCCCCTCCCTGAACTCCTGGCCCTGGCCAAGTGCGTGGGTCTCTTCTGCGGTTCATGCCCCAAGGCAGAGGAAGAGGGACTGGTTTGGAGCGGAGGGAGGGAGGGAGCTTAGTTTCTGACAGCAGGAGGCCTTGGGAGAAGACCTCTAGCAACTTGGAGTGGGGAGACCTTGGACGGGGGAGTTTAGGGTGGGGGCCATCTGCAGATCTCCCCCAGCTGAACAGTGAGGCTATTCTGCCTCACCCACACCTGCTAGGCTGTGCTCTGAACCTGCCCCATCAGCCCACTTCCTTCTCAACTTTACCTACCAACATTAATAACAGTCTGAAGGAATTTCCTTTTCCTTTTATTTTTTCAGAGAAAGAAACTCCCCCCCTTTTTTTTTTTTTTGGTACTGGGGTTTGAACTCAGGGCTTATACCTTGAATTACTCCACCAACCTTTTTTTTTTTTTTTTTTTTTTTTGTGAAGGCTTTTTTTGAGATAGGGTCCCTTGAACTATTTGCCCAGGCTGGCTTTGAACTACTATCCTCCTGATCTCTGCCTCCTGACTAGGTAGGATTACAGAGGTGAGCCACCAGCGCCCTGCGAGAAAAAATTTTATTAAAATATCATATTCAAAACTGGTTGGATATGGTGGTGAACATTTGTAATCCCAGCTACTTGGGAAGCAGAGAGATTGTAGTCTGATGCCTGCCCCACAGGAAGACTCTATTTGAAAAATAAACTAAAAGTGAAAGGACTGGGGATGTGAAAGGAGCACCTCCTAGTAAACAAGAGGCCCCGAGTTTAATTCCCAGTACAGCGAAAACAAAAGCACTGAATCACATTCTACATACTCAGAAATTTCCATGTGTTTATATTTGAACATTATAGAGAACATCAGATTTTGAACTTTTCCTTCTCTTTCTCCTCTCTCTCTCTCTCTCTCTCTCTCTCTCTCTCTCTCTTTTGAGATAGGGTCATAGCCCAGGTTGGCCTCAAACTTGAAATCCTCCTCCCTCAGTCTCCCAAATTCTGGATTACAGGTGCACCACCACACTGACTGAACTTTTTAAGAGCACAAATTTGGGAGATTTATTTGGGGCCAGACTGCAGCTCCACCTCTTTCAGGACATAAGTCTAAACTGGGCTCGTTTCGTTATCTGTAAAATGAAGGACTTACCATCCATCAAATAGTTGGCCTGACAGTTAAGTAGAATCATGTGTATGGAGTGTTTAGTTAGTTCCTGGCACATCGCAGGTTCTCAAAAGTGGTAGTACTGAGTAGGATCTGTAATAACGGTAGTTATTGCTAGGTAGTTAATACTATCAAAATGGGTGAACTTGTACTTTAGCCATGCATTCTAGTTTTAATTGTGTTTATCACTATGTATCTTTTTTTCTGATTGCATGTTTGTCATTTTCCTAAGAAAGCAAGGCCTCGATACTTACCTGTCCTTGTACCACAGGTCTGTCCTGAGAAAGATTGACCCCACTGGAAGATTAATTCCATATATTTTTATATCTACCTACATCTTCTTCATGCTCTTAGCATTCAGACTTCTTGTACTTTTGGGTCTCTGCATTATTTGTTTGTCCCTTGAAATTACTGAGCTGACATTATGGATTTGAGATGAAAGGTACAAGTTGAGAAGAGAAATCTGGAGGTCAGAAGCTTTGATTTGGCAGAAGCAAGGTGCAGAGGGTGCTCAATGGGTAAAACTTGGACTTGGATGCCCACAAGGAGATTTTGATATAAAGATCAGTGTGACTCTCTTGCATGCATTTGATCTCAAGGTTCCATAATGTCCACACAGCTTCCGCAGATATGGATTAGGAATCAGAAGACAGGTTCTAGTTCAAGCTCTGCCACCCGGAAACTGGGTGGGCCTGGGGAAATCCCTTTAATCTCTGGATTCAATCATGTGACTTCCTTAGCTCTGAGGAGGTTCTTTGGTGTGAGAACAGCTGCTCGACTTGGGGCCTGAGAGGAGAGCTCATTCTTTTCATTTCTTTGAGATGGGTTCTTGCTATACTTTCTAGGCTGTCCTTGGACCCTTGGGCTGAAGTAAACCTCCCGTCTCAGCCTTCCAAGTGTTGGGACTACAGGTGTGTGCCACCACATCCAGCTTTGGGATGTTCTTTCTTTAAAATAGAGAAGTAGAAGTTGCCCAGAAGGCAGGGTGCCTCCCCATAACAAGCCACAGGGACAGTGGCCTCGGCACTTGCTGGTGAGAGTGGGGAGAGGAGCTGTGGAGGCCTCAGTTCCTGGCAAGCCCCAGCCTCTGAAGACTACATGGTGTATCCATAGGGTGGACATCCACCCCTTTCTTATCTCCTCTGAAATGCCTGGTGGAGGAGGCTGGCTCAGGTCATTATTCTGCTGAGGGGCTTTGACCCGTCCCCAGCTTGTAGCTCATGTTGGGAGAACCCAGGCTCAGGGGCCCTGAGGCTTGGGATGGAACTTGGTCACCTCTAGCTGGTAAATGCTGTGTTCACAGCGGCCCAGCCCCTGCCCCTTTTCTTTGGGGCCAGAAGCTCTTCATCCCCAGGTGGCATTTACTGCCTGGCTCTCTGGCAGGAGCTGGTGCCTCCACCTGAAGAAGTAAATAAGATGACTGACTAATGTTTAATAAATGCTTGCTGTGTGGGCGGCACCTCATGTGGTTAGGTGAAGTCCTGGAGTGGGAGTGGCTGGCAACCTCAGTTTCCTCGTCTGTAAAGTGAAGTATCCAATTCAGAGGGCTGGCTGTTCTGAGGTAAGGAGGCTTCCTGTAAGTGCTAGGACCAGTGCCTGGCTCATAGTAGGTACCTCATAAAAGCTAGCTATTAGGCCGGGGTGTAGCTTAGTGGTGGAGAGCTTGCCTAACATGCATAAAGCCCTAGGTTCAATACCCAGCACCACACATACAAAAAGCTATATTTTTTCATTGCACTTTTTGCTATTAGAAATAGTCTAATGTGTTTACTTGCTGGCCAAGTGAGATCTGTGGGGCCAGAGAGTGTATCTGTGCACCTCTGGGTCCCCAAAGACTAAGACAGAACCGGCTGTGTAGTAGTCCTTTAATAAATGTGTTTGATGAAAGAATGAATCATGAATAAAAGATATGAAAGATTTCCAGCCAGACGGGGTGAGGAAGTCAACAAATCCTGTTCCCCAAATGCAATCATAAACCTGGGCAGAACTGTCTGAAATGGCCTTTTCAGTGTTCTGGATTTCAACCAGAGAGAGTCAACAAACTGAAGAGGTAAATGTTTATTCATCAAAAATGCTGAACTTTGGGATAAATGCCAAAATTACTCAGCAAAAAAGAGCCAGGAAAATCTCAATTCACACAGGAAGCACGGACCAACCAACATTAGTGCTGAGATAACACAGATGTTGGAATTATCTGACAGAAACCTTAGAGCAGCCATTGTAAAAATAAAAAAAAGTATCAGCAAGCAGTTGTGAACATTCTACTATGAAATAGTGCAGAGTCAGCACTGGATGAGATTCAACAGTCATTGGTGATAAATACTCTCTCTCCGCAGAGCAAGAGCAGAAAAAAATGTCTTTATTCTAATAAGGATCACAGCCGAAGTATTTACGACCAACACTGCTGTTCCCCCCTCCAGGACCAGCAGTAGGACATGGATATCCACTCTCGCCCCTGTTTTCCAATACCCACAAGCAAGGAAGATGGGTGAGAGACATACAGATCAGAAATGAAGAAGTGACGCAGTCCCACTTCACAAATGACATGTCTGTTGATGTAGAAAATTCCAAGGCATATGCAGAGAAGCTAGCTGGATAAATAAGTAAGGGCAGCAGGACTGCAAGTCAGCATACAAAAATCAGGGTATTTCTCTATGCCAGGAACATCTGGTCAGAAGCAGACACGTAGATGACAGGCTGGCGAGGGAGATGGAAAGAGGCTGGTGATGGAGACAGCCTGTGCCAACGGTACCTCAGTAGTAACATACCAGTTCTACCGATTGATAGGTTTAATGCAATTCCAGTGAAAATCTCAGACTTTTTTTTTTTGAAGATATAGACAAGCAGATCCTAAAATTAGGATAGGAAGACAAACTAGAATCACTAAAGCAATTTAAAAAATAAGAATATAAATTGTACTTCTCCAATTAAAAAAATTGAGGTTAAAATTCACATTCCATAAAGTCAACCATTTTAAAGTGTGCAACTCAGTGTTGTCATCGCACATTCATGGTGCTGGGTGGCCTATTTGCCCCCCAAATATTTTCTTTGCCCTGAAAGGAGAACACTAGGTAGCCCCTCCTCTGGTCTGTTTTCTGTCTCTGGCTAGTTTACGTGAATGGGATCAGGCCCATTGTGACCTTTCAAGTGGCTTTTTTAATTCAGAATATTTACAGGGTTCATCCGCATTGTAGCAAGTGTCAGAGTGATTTCTGTTTATGGTTGGATAATACTCCATGTGCACCATGCTGACTCTCCACTCACCTGTGATGGATGTAGAAGCCGCTTCCACCTTCTGTTTCCTGTGAACGGCTCGTGCATGTTTTTGTTTGAACAGCTGTTCTCAGCTCTTTTAGGTCTGAACAGGAAGTGGAATTTC